CACCCTCTGAACACTGCTGTCACCACAGCAAATCCCACCAAGAGAAAAGACAGACCAGGGTTGGGGGTGGGGGGGGCTGGCACAGAAAGGTTATCCTACTAGGTGTCTGCACTGCAATACAGCGGCTGGGAAGGAGGGGGGAAAAGTCAGGCTTTGTTATCACACGGATTTGCTCACACACAAGAGCTGGTTTCTCCGGGCCTGGGAAGCTCCTTCCACAACGCATTGGGATGAGCTGATCCAGTAATGCGGCTCCTCGGCCTCCCGAGAGGGCGCTGGGACTGCTCCTGCGAGGATCTGAATTGGTCTGGCTTTTCCTTAGAAAAGACCTGCTCCTTGCGCAGGAGCGAGCATCGCCTCGCTGGGACGGCTACCTGGAAACAGCGCACGCCAGCAGCTCCGCTGCGGATCGGCACGCTGAAGGTTCGCCCCGCAGCCGGGGCGCCCGTGGCAGGGAGCGCACAAAGGCAGCGGCGGGACCCCCCCGGGCTCGCCCCACCCTGGGTAACCCACCGAGCCTCCCTCTCCTTGCCAGCAAATACATAATCACCTGCCTAACAGAGATGCATGGGCAGGGGAATAACCCCAGAGTCCTTTGAGAACTGAAAGTGCCATACCCTGTAGTTAAAAAGGACAGGGTGGCATGAAATTCCATAAAGTTATGTTTTAATATTGTTCTTCCAATAAGTCGCTGCATTACCAGAAATATCTTTATTCCTTTTTTGGAATGAGTTTAAAAACAGCTGGAATAATATTCCAGAATGTTACTAACTTCTTAGCTGCCAAATACTACCCAGCAATAGTACTGGGCATTTACAGACAAGTGATGCCAACTTTCACTCCCAATGTTACACATTGCTTTGGCATAGGCCCCCCGGACAATTCTGAACACACGCCATGCTGTATTTTTTAAGCCGCTCTGCCTGTAACACAGGTCTGATCTCTCGAGATCCCTGGGCTCTTTTGTGAGATGATGAACGCTCCCGGCTCCCCAGCAGCCCTCCATGCTGCGCTGAACGAGGCCTCTGGAAAGCAAAGCTCCCGAGGAGCAGACCATGCTCTTCTCTACAGGGAATTTCACATAGGCAGCACTCAGTAGATTATTTTAACTTCCCTCTAAACAATCTGATTAGCAACAGGGTTTTCCCTGGGGTTTTGGTAAAGGGATACCACAGACAGTTACCAAAACTCACTGATTAAAAATTTATCCTTCCAAACTTGTGAGTGCCAAAACACACAGCGAATTCTTAACTACCCCAGAAGGTCGGAGCGATCGTTGCTGGCACTTGTTACCTCTGCTCCAAAAACACAAGTCCGATCACCAAAACCACAGGAGAAGTTCCCTTATAGCTGGAGTCAGAAGGCCTGTAACCACAGCTGAGCAGCCTGCAGCACAACCGCCAGGCTTCGTAAACAGCCCCAAACCCCTGATACAAGAGCACAGCAGTTAGGTTTTGTAAACACTCTTCGCCAGCATGACACCGCTGATCTAAACCTGAAATTACCACAGAGGTTATACAATGCCAGTTATTTCCTACCCTTCCAACAGAGTCAATGCAATTCGCATGGCCATAGACAAATCCACCACTGTGAGTCCCAGTGAGATGGAGGAAGGAGCTCCGACATCACTTGCAGAGCAGTCATACAATGATCTATTTGATTACTGAAGCACTTGGTTAAATTACTGTGGCTTGTTTCGGGAGGAGGCTGCCAAATACATTTTCAGTTTTTAATTTAGGGTTTCTCTCTTTTATGCTCCATTGTCTCTAATAGCCTCTTAGATGCTTGAAAATAAAGTTGATTTCCCTGCCAATTTAATCCTCTCTCCATGTGACAAATATCGTTATTCCCTCTGCTGCTTTCTCCCACACACACTGTTTTTATGCAGAATAAGCCAACAGGGCATTAGTGCCTTCATATCCTCTAACAGCATTATCAATGAGATCATCAAAACATTCAGCAATTTGGGACAAGATTCTTGCTTAACCGGAGGACTTCTTTTTGCAGCAGCTCTAAAAGATTACCCCGTCCTGTGTAAAGCGCATCTTATGTAAAACTATCTGCCTATACAGATATATCACACCTTTTTAAATTCCTAGTTGGCAGCGACTTAAACACGCAGGCTAAACCAGCTCCACTTCGGAAATCAGCAAGTGCTGCTTTACTGACGTTGTAAGGATACAAAAAGCCCCTTGGATAACAAAAATAGGTCTTGCCACATGGCTGTACCCCTAGTGGCTTGCTCTGGTCCCATTTGCAGATTCCTTCCTTCTGCCTTTCCTAATTCCCCCAGGAGCCCACCTCCAGGCATCAGAAAAGGACAGAGAACCAAATCTTCTCAAAAAAGTTAACTGGATTTTGAATCCACCCACTTTCCACCTAGTGTCTAATTATCAGGAAATTAAGGAAATGACCACACACTAGTTTGTTAAAACAACGTTACTGTCATCCAGAGAACACTGCCCTTGTCAAACACGGAGCACAGGCTGTTTTATTCACTTAAATGTTTGTAGGTATTTGTACAATAATTTTCTGTATCCCTTCACATCTGGGGAAAAAAAAAAAAATATATATATAAATGCCTAAACAATTAAAATATAGCCAGGCCCAACGTCCCAGAGAGAAGCAGCTGCTCGGCAAAAAGGAGGACAAAGACAAAAATACTCTAGAAAGAAAGGAAGAGTGGGTAAGGGAGGCCAAATTGGCCAAAAATAAGTTTGACAGCTAATGAAATCAGTTAAAATAGGGTTATAAGTGCAGGTCTTCAAGCAGTATTCATACTACAAATCTTTCCCCAGAGTATGAGGTGAGCAAGGAACAGGCAGCACTGTGCACAGCTGAGCAGTTGTTTCTCTAATCAGCGTAATTCTGGCTGCACGAGGACAGCAAGGATCGTACCATTAGATATATCTTTATTTACCCAGAGATAGCTGAATTAAACTTCCTTACTGTGAGGGAGGATGGCACTAGGTACACTGCAAAATTGCAGTGATTTACCAATTTCTTATTCACTCACGTTTCTGATGCAGTTCCGCGGATTTCTCACCTCTACAACACAGTTCTTAACAGGAATATTATGACAGGTGGCTCCAGCGATCCCTTATGGGGCAATTTCAGACATTAACCCCATGTCTGCCTGCCCCATCCTTATGCTGCACGTAACTATCCCTGTAGCAGAAGCTACAGAATTCACAGTGTCTGCTCCTCAGTCACTGCAATCCACAACCAGCCCTATAACTGAAACCAACCCGTCATTCAACAAACATGAAAACACCACACTGTCAATCACAGGAGTTGAAAAGCGGACACACCGTCCATTCTGCAGCTCCTGTTACAAGGATAGCAGCATCTGAAAAACAAGGCAGCATGAAAAACCAGAAGCAACAACCTATTAAATTAATCTGGAATGAACCACAAGAGATCATAGGTTTGAACCCTGACACAAAGCCAGATCTTCAGGCAGAGGTTTATTCTTTAGGATAAATCCTGCTTCCCGTGAAGTCTATAGAAGTCTTCCCATCAACTTCAAATGGGAACGGATTAGGCCACTGCATCACGGACATCCATCAGGCTAGAAGAATCATTCTTTGGTAGTAATTCTCCCCTTCCCCTGACAGGAATAAACTCTCGTACTAACCCCTTCTTCCTGAGTATCTAATCATAGTTTGAATACTACCAATGCAGCGGATGTCAGTGAGTATCCTAAACTTACAGAACACTACAGAAAATGATACTCTAGCTCCTCAAGTTTCAAAATCAACTAAATGAGTATTTTGACATTTCTTTAATACCTTCCATCCACGGATCTTAAGGACTTTAATAGTGCTAGAATTTAATGTTGGAACTCTCTTGTGATACATGAGAGTATCACTACTACTTCAGTAGCACCAGGGGAAAGTTCAGCAACATGACTAAACTCACAAAGCAGATCAGCATCAGATCAAAGGGCGGAAATCAAGTTTCTGGATCCCTCTGTCCCTAACCACGAGAAAACCCACTATTTTAGTGCTCCTGTCATATTGGAATTACACATAATTATGTCCAAGCATCAGAAGTGCTTGTACCAATCTCTAAATACTAGGCATGACAAGAATTTCTGGCCTCAACGTTCACAACACATAGATTATGGTATTAACCATTCATGAGATATTAGGTGATAACACTTGCTGATGCTTTGTGTTATTTCAAAGTTTATAAACCCATCCTTAAATAGCATAAAGCATATCTAGCTGGAAGAATTCAAAACATACCTGCGGCAAAATTATGCTGCAACTGAAGTATGCATACATATAAGAAGAAACAAGAGAGTTAGTACAACACTTGTCTATATTGATACTCCAAATCACAAAACAGAAATTATCACTGTTCATCACCGGGACACTCAAGTCTTCAGCTTAACAGCATCTTATTTCTTATTGCAGGGAAGGCTATAAGCAATATGTCAAGCATCGTGTTCAAGCATTAGCTTTGCCATTTACAACTGCATAGTTGATTTGAAACAATTATATAAAAACTTAAAAGTCAAATGAGTAGATAAAATACATTCATATGACTTTCCTATACACACACACACACATCTATGTAACGCATATATACACACATGCATATGCCTCTTGGAAATCATAAAACAGGCAAAGGAAAAGAGGGAGAGAGAGCAGGTTAAGGTGGTTTCAAATACCAGTCAAGATAAACGTAGATGTGCTGAAAACATTCAGAGATTGTTTGTTCAGGAGGAAGGAGGCAAAAGCCTTAAGGAGGGACTCCTTTCATAACAGCTTAGAGGTAGGAAAGGTGCCCAGGCTATTTCTGCTTTGTATTTACTTTGAGGACTAACCATTGTCTGCCAAGCGATCTGATCAATAACAGGTCTGAAATTGCTTTTAGAACACATTAATTCTAGTTGTAAACTAACTACACTGCTGTACAAAGCAGCATGGTTTTGCACGTGAATTTCATTTGCTGTCATTCTTTTGACTTATCTAAAAATTTCTGATACTCACAAGGCTCTGCTTGACAGGGCAAGGTCACCTGATGTTTTTTAACACCGTCAAACAGGAGTTCTGCACCACCTCTGAAATGAAAAGAACAAACTACTGAGTCTTTGCTTTATCTTCAAAATAAAGATATTACAAAAGGGGCAATTTACATAGATGCCACAAAAGAGAAAGGAAATGATATAGACTGTATTTCGTATAGGATTCTCTGTCGGTTTTCTTCCCAAAAAATGCAAGTTCTTACGGGAAGCTGGTGTCTCCTATTGCGATCACATACCTCAGCCACGGGCCAGAACCCTGTTGTGCCAGGCATCTTCCCAGCAGAACAGGAAGATGGCAGCTGTCCCAAAAAGCTTACAAACTGTCATGCAGCGTCTAGCGCACAGCCTTCCCTTTCTCTTTAGCTATCGGCACTGCTTCAATTCAAAAAATATTTCAGATACCACCCTATAGCCAACGTCGCTCTCCTACAACATTTTTCAGTCAGAAGTCTCGAGGCGTTCCACAAAATGTGAAAATCATAATATCTTTGTGGAATAATTCTTTCTCCAGTTTCCACTTGCAAATAGAAAAAGGAAATGACTCACACAGGGTTACACAGCAAGTCAGATGCAGAGCCAGAAATCCCTGAGTCCTGGCAACCCCTTCTTGATCTAGCTACTACAAAGCATTCCCTCTCAGAACAAACTTGAACACTGGGAAAAGCATACAAAACAAGTGACAACAATTACAACTTAAATTAAAAAAAAAAAAAACTCCTCTACTGAACAATCTGGTTAAAAGTCCCTTTTCTGACATTCAGATCTTACAAGGGGACTGGCCTCAAACAAGCAGAGATTTTGCCTCTGCAACCACAGCTTTTTACAAGAGAACCAGGATGAGCAGAATACAGAAGAGGTAAAAGCTGACAAGTACAGGAGCTGGTCCTTAACTCTGAAAAACCGGGATTTCAATCGCGTCTGGGTACCTAATTTCCTCAGGCTCTTCAAGAAAATTTGTTTCGTAGCTGCAGCTTAACAACCCTCAGCTGGCTCCTCGCACATATCCATTTTCTGGAAAAGGAACAATTCTGAAAGCCTTGAGCCCTACCAGCATAGGTCAGTTTTCCTGATGTTATGCAGCTGCAGGCTAAACTCAGTCTTATAAAAAGATTACAAAACTTCACCCTTTGACTAGAAGAACAGATAAGAAACACGGAGGCTAGATTAAGACACAGGACACAGAAGCAGGTAGTACAAGCTCTTGACTCCAGATTGAACAGGAAGGCCAAAGTTTCAACAATTTGGAAAATCAAAAAGTCAACTCAGCCGATTACTGGGTGCTCAACTCAGATAGAGAAACGACCAACCCCCTTTCAAAGGCCATTTAATTGCAGCAAAACGTCCTTCCAATTTAAATTTCGATTACTTTAGATGATGTTTCTCACAGAATTACATTCAGGAAGTCTTGCTGGTACCTTGCAGCTCTTGAAAATTGACTCAGTAAAGTATTCAAAAAAACGTCACCACTTAAATAGTAACAAAAATACATCCACATGTTACAGAGTTCCTTTAAATTCAATATCTAAAAATGTCACACTAGGTTTTCTTGGCTCTGCAATGGAAGAGCACAACAGAACCCTTATTATGCCATCGGCAGCGTTACTTATATGCAGCAACTCTCCTAAAGGGCACTCTGTTGGTGTTCTTCCACCAGCTCACAAAAAATAGTTATCTGAAAATTGAAGCAGCAATTATTACCATGAGCTGAGATTCATGCAAGAGAACAAGTCACAGTAATTATATGAAAAACATTTTTTTATGTAATGAAAACAAGGTCACGCTTTGTTACAGTGGGAAATGTAGATTGCAAGATAAGGTCCTTCTGTAATGCGCTAGCTGTGGAGAACTCAGCTGTGAGTTGTACATAGAGAGCTCATTTATGCATTTCCAAGGGAAGCAAAAATGTACCTCGCTCTTCTGGGAAAATTAGGAGACTTACTGCAGCTGGAAGTGGGAAAGACTGAGGAAAGGGTTTTTAAGGAGAGGGCATTTAAAGGGTTATGACATTTCTGTGTCTGTGAAGGGGTGGGAAAAAAATCAAGTAAATAGCAGCCTTTTAGCTTTTGCTAAAAGGGGGCTTTAACAACCTAACACAGGAATTGTCGCAAACGTTCAGAGACTTCCAAGGCAAACGCTCTTCAAGCGACGCAGACACTACAGCCACAAAGACCTGAAAATTAAATCATTATACAGAACCCCACTGCTTTACATTAAGAAGAATTAAAGAAGAATCGACAGGAAGAAAAGAGAGAGCGTTATGTGCAGCCAGGCGCCCCAGCCCCCACGCAGGCAAACACAAACGCAACCAGAAGCGTTTTATTACTAATTTTAATTAGTAAGAGAGGGCTAAAGGGGGAGGGGGGGCACTTGCCAGGCAGGTACCCGCGGCGGTGCGGGCACCCGCTGCCCC